GTTCTTTTCTTCTTTATTTCTTTTCTGGAACGGCCTAGTGAAATGTCTTGGATATGTTCGGGCAAATTACAAAAGACTCGTCACCAATGGTTATGAGCCACATCGGTGCGTTGATATGTGTTAGATGCCTAATTGCTTATGACCCTTTTCATCTTTATTATTCTGGCCCGGGAGTTTCATACTTGTCTGACTAGATCTATCCGGCGGAACCTGAGGCTGACATTCCGAAGAGGGAGAGGTCGGTTTAACCGGGGCCTCCCGATCTCTCTCCCCATTTGGAGGGCAGCGGTGTATGTGATGGCCTTTATTTTTACGGGTGGTACCTTTTGGTGAAAGCTGGATGAAGAGGAGGACCTATATGGCTGGCTTATACAATTGAAGGGAGGATAAACGATAAACGCGGGGTAGGTGAATTAGTAGGTAATTGGGTGTGTGCCCAATGCGACTAATCGGTTCCGGATTGGCGGCGTTTATACGTAATTGAGGTTGGGAGGGGATCAATACGAAAATACTGGCTTACGGATATGCTGTGTTCCTCGTCGTCGTTCGAGTTTGCCTCGATAATCATGTAATCTCCGTGTTTATTCAATTTTGTAGGCAGCCAAGCCTCGTGGGTTCCTGCAAGGGCTGTCAGTTCATTGGATACCTACCGCAACCACAGCAACCTTTATACTTTGCACTACGTACAGAGAACAAGGGCCTATGCAGGGCCCGCGGCTGTCTTCCAATGTGCTTCTTCGAGGGGACGGGCTAGTCGTGTAAGCAGAAGCAGCCCTGGATCGGCTCCCATTAGTGAGCCCCATTCACCCCGTAGCGCCACGCAGGGTTCCCATCATTATTGGGGACAATCACACCATCGACCCGACATCCTTCTGGCACTAGGGCGGATTTCGTCGCGATTGCCATACGTTCGTCTGGGATACCGTCCTCACATGGCGCCAGATATGGGCAAGGCCGATGACGTGCTTTGCTCAAAGCGTGTCTTGCCCCTCCCGTGAGGGTGTCTAGGCCGCGGTCGGAGTTGGATCATGGTGGGATGGTGGGGGGTTTGCGATGGGAGAATGAGGTCTGTATGGCGGGCCAAGGTGGAAGCTGGTAATAATAATGTTCTGTCTTGAAATTAGTGACCGGCCAAACAAGTGCCTCATTGCGTGAGCTGCACTACCCCTCGCCTGATATGTGTGACGGTTGAGCGGGAGGACGTTCAGCCCTCCCACTATTAAACCTTCTTGGTCGTCCTCTTCCGCTGGCGCTGTCTCGTCCCGTCCCCCTCCATATTCTGTTCCTCCAAACTCTCCTCTAGCTGTCCTACGCAGGTTTCCCGAAGATCTTCACCATGTCGGATCTCAGCAAGAACTTTGAGACCCTCCAGCTCCACGCGGGGTAAGTGTTGATCATTGAGCAGTTCAGGCTGGCATTGGCAATGTTGCCGTGCTCTGCCATTCTTGGCCAGAATAAGGCACATGTAAATGGGAAATAGCTAACAGCCGTATGAAGTGCCGAGCCGGATCCCACGACCAAGAGCCGTGCGGTGCCTATTTATGCGACCACTGTAAGACAAGATTCGATCCCAGTACACAACACCCAAAACCACAGCTCTGAGCTAACGAATTGGCTTCAAACTCTAGAGCTTTACTTTCAATGACTCCGCCCATGGAGCTAGGTTATTCGGCCTCAAGGAATTCGGCAACATCTACAGCCGTATTATGAACGTAAGTTCCCCCCGCAACCTCGGCGCAATGCAACGTTTGCCATGTACTTACACGCGACCCCTCCAAACAGCCCACGGTCGATGTCTTCGAGAAGCGCATAGCTGCCCTTGAGGGTGGTGTAGCTGCCCTGGCCTCCTCCTCAGGCCAGGGTGCCCAGTTCATCGCAATTGCGACTCTGGCCCAAGCCGGTGACAACATCGTCTCCACCACGAACCTGTATGGCGGCACCTACAACCAGTTCAAGGTCTTCTTCCCGCGCCTGGGCATCAACACCAAGTTTGTCGACGGCGAGAACCCCGAGGACATTGCTGCCGCCATTGATGACAAGACCAAGGCTGTCTATATCGAGAGCATTGGAAACCCACGATACAACGTCCCAGATATCGAGGCTATTGCCAAGGTTGCCCACGAGAAGGGTGTCCCTCTAGTGGTATGTTCATAGAAGATCCGGAAGAGTTGCTGTTGCTGACTGGTGAGCTTTCAAGGTGGACAACACGTTTGGTGCTGGAGGTTACTTCATCCGACCTATTGACCATGGAGCGGACATTGTCGTCCACTCCGCCACTAAGTGGATTGGCGGCCACGGAACCACCATCGGTGGTGTCGTCGTCGACTCCGGCAAGTTTGACTGGGGAAAGCACGGCAAGCGCTTCCCCCAGTTCGTTGAGCCGTCGGAGGGATACCACGGACTCAAGTTCTGGGATACTTTTGGCCCCATCAGCTTCATCATCCGTGCCAGAGTAGAGACCCTCCGAGATCTCGGTGCCACCCTCAACCCCTTTGCCGCCCAGCAGCTGCTGCTTGGAATTGAGACTCTTAGCTTGCGCGCAGAGAGGCATGCCCAGAACGCTCTCGCCCTGGCCAAGTACCTCGAGAACAGCTCCTACGTAAGCTGGGTGTCCTATCCCGGACTTGAGAGCCACCCCTTCCACGAGAGCGCCAAGAAGTATCTGAAGAGAGGCTTTGGTGGTGTGCTGAGCTTCGGCGTCAAGGGTGGCGGCGCTGCCGGCAGCCAGATCGTCGACGGCTTCAAACTGATTTCCAACTTGGCCAACGTCGGTGACGCAAAGACCCTGGCCATCCAGTGAGTTTTACCCGAGTTGTGAAATGCTTGGAAATAGAGTGCTAACTTGCAGTAGCCCCTGGACCACAACCCACGAACAGCTCTCTGACGAGGAGAAGAAGAGCTCAGGTGTCACCGAGGTAAGAATTGACCAAGGGCACCTTTCTACCCTGTTGAAAGCATGACATTTTCTAACAGTTCAACCCACAGGACCTTATCCGTATCTCTGTTGGTATCGAGCATATTGACGATATCATTGCCGACTTTGACCAGTCGTTTAAGGCTGCTGAGGCGGCGACCACGACCGCTTAGATTGTTGCTTTCTCCTGATGATCGAGACATAAACAAGATAGCGAGGAAGTGGAAGGAAGGAGAGAATAGGCATGGAAAGATCGAGTCGATCACAATACCCCTGGAAAGAGATAAGAGATGGCATTGGCGTTGACGATGATGATGTATTTGTTACCTATTACTACCTTGCAATCTCTGCTGTAATGAGACCTAAATGAGTAAAAGGCAGTAAGCCAAAGATGATTCGAGCAGAGAGATGCGTGAATTGATAATTCGGAGCCTGCGAAAGCTTGAAAAAAGAACAGACTGGTGCATTTGATGTTTGGAAGGTACGTTGTAAGATAGATGAATCATGAAAGCCCAGGCAGAAGTGGGTCCCCCAAGTCATGGATCCTGCAAGCTGGAGCTTGTAATATGTCGACAACGTCGCCGATTGACAGCTTCCATCCCGGAAACCACTATCCCACCACCTCGACCTGAACCACCGGCCCATCCGACCCATCGTCGTCGCCCAATCTCCCAACCCACCTCCCGCGACACACCAATACTAGTACTAATACCCACACCCTCAACATGCGCCTGGAAGCCGCCTGCCTGCTGGCCTTCATTGCCAGCGCCCTCGCCGCCGACCTCACCCTCTACCTCCCCTCCAAGCCGAACCCGTGGTCGCTGCCCCCCAGCACCCGCGCGACCCTCGACTCCCTCGGCGAGCACTACGCCGCCCCCATCTCCTCCCTCAACACATTCGTCTTCAAGAACGTCTCCGCCCCCGGGTCCTACCTCGTCGACATCCACTGCGCCACCGACACCTTCAAGCCCCTGCGCGTGGACATCGCCGCCGACGGCAAGGTCGACGCCTGGGAGACCTTCCGCGGCAACGACTGGGCGAACCGCGGCGAGGCCATCCCCGTGCAGGATGGCGGGGCTGTCGAGGCCAGGTTCCTGATCAAGAAGAACTACTTCCAGGAACGGCCCAAGTGTGAGTTCCGCCTCGGTCCTGGGCACTTGCAGTCTTTTGTCTAATAGGCAATCTAATTTACTGACTCCCCCTCCTCAACTTTAGTCTCGGTTCTCACCATCCTGAAGAACCCAATGATCCTGATGGGTCTTGTCAGCATGGGCATCTTCATCGGCATGCCCAAGATTATGGAGAACAGTAAGCCAAAATCCCCGCTATAGCCTTATTTTAACACCTTTCCATTAACTCACCAATTCCAGTGGACCCAGAGATGAAGGCTGAGTTCGAGGCCAGACAGGCCGAGGGCCCTCTGAGCGCCTTGATGGGCGGTGGCGCCAGCCGTGACCAGGGCTCGTTTGACATGGCTGGATACCTTGCTGGATCCAACAAGGAAGACGGCAACGGAGGGAAAAAGTCACAGGGAGTACGAAGGTAAAAATGGGATGGGAGGTTTTAAAACGGCATTGAATAGTCCATGGTTATGAAAGTTTACCGGCCTAGGCCAACTGTCCTTAGCTATCACCTAAAAGAACGCACAAATGCTTGTCCATATGTTCAATGAATTTTTCTTTCTTTTTTTGGAGGTGAGTCAATTGTACGGATGAGGAATTGAAGATGGATAGTTTTACGTAGATAACCGGGGCTTAATATGAGTGTGTATATGACCATGGGGATTTCTTCTATATGGGGGAAAATTGCATATGTATCTCATCAGGCTTTAGCCACCTTTTGGCCATATATCATCATTGCGCGGGTACGAATATAAGGGATGAAGATAGAAGTGGCCACCTGAGTCATATCGGCTTTATTATCCAACGCAATATCTGCTTCTCATGACAAACCACCTTCTTGGGCGACCAGCCCGGATAATAGAGACTGGTAAATCCCGTATAGGTACGAAATGGCTAGTCGTCGGCAATCATCAAGCCACAGTCAGGATGTTGGATAGAATCTATTTGTGGAAAACCACGTTAGCTTAACGATTTCCATAAGAGACACATAAAAGGAGTTCGAATGTGGGATACACAACATACTGGTGATTGAACATGTTCTCCTTGGCCCGGTACTTCCAGGCGAGTTCATCCTTTAGGAACAAGCTCTTTAGACAGCGGGGGTGGTTGGAAGATCCCACTGGGACTGTTTAGTATGTAGGTTTACGTAGAACCTAGGACTTGGTTAGTTGTGGGCTCATCACATGCCAAAGCTGATTCTTACCAAGTTTGATACTGATCATTGAACCTAGCTGCCCATCCCTCAGGAACCTGGGGAGCGCCGGGCTGCTGAGGCTGCTGGGGTTGCTGAGGCTGCTGAGGTTGCTGAGGCTGAGGTTGCTGGGGTTGCTGGGGTTGCTGAAGCTGCTGAAACTGTTGGGGTTGCTGAGGTTGCTGAGGCTGCTGGGGTTGTGGAGATTGCTGGGACTGTTGAGGTTGCTGAGGTTGCTGCGGGTGTATGACGCCAGGGGCAACTCCAGGTTGGGCACCAGGACCAGGAGTTGCTGGTGCTGTTGGTTTATCCCACTGAGACTGCTTGGTAGCAAGGTTTACATAAAACCTATCAATTGATACTTTGGTTAGTGACTGCTTCGAATAAACTAGTTCTTCTTTAGGAGAGCACTTACCAAGTCTGATACACTTCATTGAACCGAGCCGCCCATCCCTCAGGCACTTCAGGCGCACCAGGCTGAGTTGGTGCTGGAGGCGTGGGTTGAGGCTGGGGTTGAAATTGGGATTGGGGCTGAACCTGAGGTTGAGGTTGAGGCTGGGGTTGGACATGAGGGCTCTGGGCTACTGGAGACTGATGTTGCTGTGGTTGAGGTTGGTGTTGGAATGGAGATTGGGGTTGAGACTGAGGCTGAGACTGAGGCTGAGGCTGAGGCTGAGGTTGAGGTTGGAATTGAGCTTGTTGAGGCTGACCAGCACCTGGGCCGCCAAATTGCTGAGATTCCGGGCCAGGGGTGGCAGGAACAGTCGGTTTGTCCCACTGAGACTTCTTTGTAAAGGTGTTTACATAGAACCTATGTCTTGTGTTAGCGAGCTTCTCCATTTACTCAAGTGTCGTTCTTCCACTTAGTCAAGCTTACCAGGTCTTGTACTGATCATTAAATCGAGCTGCCCATCCCGCAGGGACCTCTGGAGCACCTGGAGGATTGTTCGTCGAGGGAGAGGTAGGGCGGGAGGCTGAGCTAATAGAATGCTGAGGAGTATGAAGGCTCTGGCTCTCGCTGGCGGGCGTTGCCGGGGCCGTTGGCTTGTCCCATTGAGACTTCTTGGTGAATGTGTTCACGAAGAACCTAATGTGACCTCTTGTTAGCTCTTACACTCACCCAACATGCTAAGCCTAACTGGATTCATAACTTACCAGGTCTTATACTGGTCGTTGAACCGAGCTGCCCATCCCGCAGGAACTTCCGGAGCACCAGGTGGGTTGTTTGCCGTAGGTGGAGTAGGCTGACCAGGCTGGGGAGTAGGCTGAGGAGCGGGTTGGGGAGTAGGCTGATGAGCGGGTTGGGGAGCAGGCTGATGAGTAGGCTGGGGAGCTATATTAGCAGGCTGCTGCTGTGGTGTGTGGATGCTCTGGGCTTCGCTGGCCGGCGTTGCGGGAGCCGTAGGCTTGTCCCACTGAGATTTCTTAGTATACAGATTCACGAAAAACCTGCCATGATTTCACTTGTCAGCTCTCTTCGTCTATTTCTCCTTGTCACCTGCCCGTGAAGATGGATTCGCGGCCTCTGTGAGGGGTAAAGTCATACCAGGTCTGATACTGGTCGTTGAAACGAGCAGCCCACCCGGCAGGTACCTCTGGCGCCCCGGGGACCGCGGGGGCACTCTGCGGCTGTGGAGAGCTCTGTTGGGAGAGATTCAGAGACCCGATATTCGGCATCCCCTGGTTGGGGTCGGCCGGGGTTTGGGCGGCAGCAAACGGCGACGCAGCTGCGACCGGAGGAGTGGCAGCAACCGGAGGCGTGGCAGCAGCTGGGTGAGGCGCGGCAGCGACCGGTGTCGCAGGTACGGTTGGGCGTTCCCATTGCGACTGCTTGGTAACGCTGTTGACGTAGAACCTGGTGGCCAGAGATAACGGTATCAGCCTCCAACCTCATCTTTCCTTGCCATCTCTTTTCCCTCAGTACTCACTCGGTCTTGTATTGATCGTTCCAGCGTGAAACCCACCCAGCAGGCAGATCTGACGGAGCGCCAGGCCCAGGAGTCGGTGTCTGCGCTGGGACTGGAGCTGGAGCCGGAGTTGGTGCTGGATTCGGGGTCGCAGGCGCGGGGGCGGGACTAGGGCCCGTCGGAAGCTCCCATTGCGACTGCTTGGTGGTGAGATTAACGTAGAACCTTGAGCGAGGAATGAAAACAATCAGTATGCTGTGAGCCGGTTTTGCCAGTTTCGCGGGCGAGAAGATGCGAGGGGAGCTTCACCAGGTGTTATACTGATCGTTCCACCGAGCTGCCCAGCCTGCGGGAACCTCTGGCGGAGAGTTCTTGTCCATTCTGGCGGTCGGCGACGCAGAGACGAGCCGGGCTGGAGAGAAATGACGGAGGATTCAAATGGGCGGGAAGAGATCAAAGGCCGAGTCGGCGGCGCACTATCCAAAAAATGCGCTCGCGAAATACCTATGCTGGCGTGACGGTCATGAGGTTGGAGAGAGGTGTTGGTTCAGGCCTCCAGAGCCCATCAGACTACCCAAGCTTGGCGGAACTATCGCGGGGGAGAACAAGGGCCTGTCGCCTGCCTGGACCCCCGCTGTTGGTTCCATTTCCATGCTCAGCCTGGGCGAGATCAAGGGTCGTAATCAGCCTGGTAGGGCAGTGGGCACCGCCAGCAACGGCATTACGAATGTCGGCGGGGCGTTTGCCAGTTTTGCCCTCTGCCAGCCATTCTGCTGGTCTGATCTCTCCAAAGAGCTTCATTCTGCCGTGATCCTTCGGTTGCGTGCGCTGAGCCCAACCGACCCGAACCCAGTGCCTTGGACTCGCATAGGAAATAAGTCGGGCATTTTGACGCCGACCCCTGGCCCTGAGTTGCTCTCTCTACAACTCAGACAGGGACTTTTGAAATCTCGATCCGCATATGCCTTTTCAGTGAGTGGTTGTAGCGTACCTCATATGTATATGTCAGTGGCGGCACCGAATTGTGCAGTGCCAATGCTTGGCACTTACTAGGTGGCATTGATTGGATTTAAGACACACGGATATTGTACTGCCGATTTTCAAAGCCGCGATCACTGTTGCCATATTATTGAGGATGAATAATGTACCAAATATTGTTAGTTTATATCGGTTTATACTGCCGTATTACTGTAGTCATCGTAGCAATCGAGACGAACGCTCATAACCACCCTTCAATCTGATGTCTCATTCCTTCGTCACCCAGATGCCAGGGCCATTATGCATAGCGGAACCATGCCGCGGTGTCTTGTCTTAGATCTGCAGCCACAATGCAACGCATTGCCACCAAGCTCTCTTCGGAAGTTTTAATGACATGGGAGGGAAAAAAAAAGTTCAAACGCACTGATTAATCTAGGGTGCAGTAAAATGAGGTTATGTAGAATCGTATTTGACTGTATTCGCTTATACCAATTTCCAATGAGCATCCAGATAGATTGATCATGTCCAGTCCCATGTCAAACTCTATATTTAAAGAAAAAATACAAAAGAGAACAACTCCTTGCGCTGATAGTACAGGCCGATAAGAACCGCAGTCCTGTGCCTAAAAAGGAAGAAAACGAATGCGCCTAGGCCCGAAAATAAACACTTCAATCCTTACACATATTCACGGGAGTCTCCCAGCCTTCTCTCTCCAAAGAGGTACGCCGCCTCGAGGCAGAATCTTCCATGCCCCCGTTCCATGCGTCTTTCGCTGCCGTAGCAGATGAGAACAGCATCTACAATACCACTGAGAATGCCCTCCATGGCACCCATCACTGAGTACCCGATGAAACTGGCCATGATACCAACAACATACGCGTAGGCGGAGCCTCGCATTCCCATGCCATCTGGTAGCTGGATCTGAAGCTGTTTGGCCGTGATCACCCAACCAGCAAAACCTAGACCTGTAGCCATGATGAGGCGCGTGGCCACTAAAAGGAGCTTTGAGAGACGGTAAGGAAGAAGACTAGTGCCTGCATGCCCTCGCATCCTTAGTGCTTGCGGAGTTAGAGTTGTCGTTGGGATGGCTGAAGAGATAACATCCATTTGTCCTAATCCACGGGCTGAGATAGACAAGTTCTGAGAGTGGATGGCTGAGTACGTGACAGTCAGCGGGTTGGTCAAGGCAATGATTGGCGTGGGGATCCAGAAGGCGGCCAGGTTGGAGATGATAGAGCCAATCCGTCTCGGTAGGAAGATGAGCGGTGCTCGGACAAGTAGTGAAAGCAGAGTTGATTGGCAGATGCTGCCGAAGATGGTGGTCAAAGCATGGAAAAGAGCGGCGGTTACAATCTCCCGCGAGTGAGTTCCCGGAGCTGCGTTGCGGTGGAAGTACCACTGCGAAACCGTCGCAGCAGTCGTGGCCCTGTGGATGCCGTTGATCACCGACAGAGTCCACATGTACATCAAGATGAAGCCTGCGCCGAGCCACCAGCTTGACAGCTGAATCACAAACTTGAAACTGTTCTTTGAGAAATACCCGCCCATGAAGACCCGGGTGAACATTCCTAACCAAATCCAAGTCCAGACCACGATGAGAGCTAGACAACCAAATCCAACGAGGAACAGCCCCGAGTTCTGTGTCAAAATTTTACTGGAAAACTGGAGGATTTCTACCGCCTGTTGGATCGATCTTCGTCCCTTGACCACAAGCCAGATCCACAGGACACAACCCACGGCAGGAACCACTGATGACCACCGCATAACCGAATCCTGGAAGCTGGCTCCATGCGTTCGTCCCTTGAAAGAGGACGCAAAGGAGTAAATCGAAAACGAAAGCATGATCACCGGCACAGCGATCAGGATGACGTTGACAAGGGGGCGGACGAATGACCTTAGGGATGCCAGCCAGATAAAGGATACAAAGATGGCAACAATGGTGTCAACAGCTAGCATGTTGAAAGACTTCTGCAGCGTTGCGTAGATGGTGTCTCCAACTGGACTACTCCGAGATCCCGTATTTAGCCATACCAATACAAACGTCGACATCATCGCGGCGAAGCTGATAAGGAAAATCCAGGCGAAGAACTGGTCGTGATAAAACACTTCTCCCTCCGGAGATGCCGTGGCTTGCTGGGCTGGCTCATCTTCTGCGATCGAGGCCGGCGCGCCACGACTTTGGTCGGTATCATTCGTGACTGACCTCTCTAGGAACGGTGCCCGCTCCGACTTGAAGCGCTGAAACGCTGGGGGGCTCGAGTCGGTTGGTGCTTCGCCAAAGAGCGAGGCTGGCGGATCTTCGTCGGGATCAGCCTGGGACTCTAGACCGATGTCGACCATCTTCCCTTTGCTATCCGGACTTGATTTGGTCCCGTCATATATCCTGGGTCGCGTGACCTCTTCCTCCTCCTCCTCGAGCACCCCGCTGGGTACATGAGGGCTGTGCGAACCCCGGAGACCATTCCAACTGCTCTTAATACCTCGGCCTAATCCTCGATGCTGATAAGGCCCTTCGTGATGTGTGCTGTCATCCAGGGAGCCCCGACTGTTTCCCTCGGACTCGGTACTTTCTGCCATCTTAGTAGCTGCGGCAACCCGCCTCGACCTTTGCAACGCAAGGAGGTCAGCAGCCTCCCTATCCCGCTCCTGCTCGTCGTCCTCCTCCCTGAACTCGTCTAAAGTGCTGTGAAAGAGCGGTGCATCATGTGCTGCTGATGCCCTGGACGCGAACGCAAGATTCCCGAACCGTGAGCCGCCGCCTGCCTGCTGGTACGGGTTTCCGCCGTAGGCTGCTCGCGCAAGGAATGATCGATGAGATGCGGCCGCGGTGTTGTTGCCTCGTCGCGGCGGAGAGTTCCGTTCGTTCTGTCGTGGTAGCTGGGAGACACTCTCGTTGTCGCCCTGCCCGCCAAAGTTGGAGAACCTGGACTGGGACTGGGCCAGAAACCGTGATGCATCTGCGCACGCACTCGTTAGCCGTCACAAACACCCATTGCACAGTTGCGTCATTGTACCATACATTCTGAAAACATATTGCCCCTTCACCAACCACCGGCCCGCTCTCTCGGGCAGAAATGTTGGTATCTCGATGATTGCGTACGGTGATGCTGGGAAGTCGAGAGAATTAGGCAGACTTGGGATGATGTATCGCCGGGGATTGTCTGGGGCGGGGAGCAGCACTTGGACGGAGGCTTTCAAACAAGGTTTGTAAGATGGATGCCAGCTAAAAGGATAAAATTTTGGAACAACAGGCTCGGACAAAAACGTCTACGTGCAGAGGCGGCCAGGAGGGAGGGATGAATCGAGTACGTGGGCGGTATTGGCTTCCTTTGTCCCATGACAGAGCAGAGCGGGTTACTGTGTGACTGAGTCCATCAGGCAGATGAGTTACCCGTCCGAGGCGGCTAGATGACATCGACGCACCAACGCGGTAGGCGGTCACCGCCTCGCCCCATCGTTTATCCTGGGTACCTGGTCGATAGGCACACACTCAGCTTGATAGTGGACTCGGCAGCCTGGGACAGCCCATATCTCTGCGGGTCCAGGACTCGATACCACTCCTAGTGCCTGGGTCCTATCTCCATGGCCGGAGTCTGAAGATGCACGCAATTCTCACATCGCATGTCGATTCTCGTCTTTCCCATGGTTCCGCTGGCCTGTGGTGGTCGCTCCTGCGCCCGCTAACCATCTCTCCTTCTGTATTTTTAGAGTTTCCCCCCGCTCATGACATCCAGCCTGGCACAGGACATACCCATGCGACGCTGCGGCCTGAGGGGGATGACCGCGCTGTTATCGCCTGTTTGCGTCACTGATAGCAACACCGTCCGTAGTAGATTCCCACCCGACCCGATACCCCAGTGGGGCCCTTGAATCGAAACTGGGGCGCCGACCGGTCACCAGCCTATGGAGCATTGGGGCCATCAGTATGATTCCATGTCTCGCTCGTGACATCGACGACGACCCGATCCATGATCTGACCCGTCCCCAACACGTTGTTTTCGTTTTTCTTGGCCATTCAATCTTTCCGACGCTTTTTCATCGAGTTTCGCTCTTTCTGCGTATTGCAAGGCCGGACGCTAGCGTTTCCCCTTTCTCTCACCTCCCGTGCTTTTAGTGCGCGGCGCCCTGGAGGACAGATCCCATCCATTACTCCCTATCCGACGACGACACAACCACCAGAGAGAGCAACGGCCAGCTCACGAGAACGACGACCGCCCGACAGGTCCACCTCCCCGTGCCTCCCTGACCCCCCATCCCATCCCATGTCCTCCTCCCCCCAGGTCCGCACCCGAGCTTCCTTCCCATGTCCTCGTCGCCCTGGGACTACATCGCCAAGCTCGTCTGCATCGGCGACTCAGGATGCGGCAAGTCTAGCCTCACCATCCGCCTCTGCGAGGGCCGCTTCTCCCCCCACCACGACGTCACCATCGGCGTCGAGTTCGGCTCCCGCATCGTCCCCGTCGGGCCCCCGCACACCCAGCCCAAGGCCTCCGAGGGCCTCCCGGAGCCGCCACGCGACACCCCCCAGAAGCACATGAAGCTCAGCCTGTGGGACACCGCCGGCCAGGAGACGTACAAGTCAGTCACGAGGTCCTACTTCAGGGGCGCCAGCGGCGCCCTGCTGGTCTTCGACCTCTCCCGGAGGCAGACCTTCCAGCACGTCACCGACTGGCTCAACGACCTGCGCCAGATCGCCGAGCCCGACATCGTCGTCATCCTCGTGGGGAACAAGGCCGACCTGGCGCAGCAGGAGAAGAATGAGCGCGAGGTTACGCGGGAGGAGGCCGAGGAGTGGGCCAAGCGGAACGGGGTCATGGAGTATGTCGAGACCAGCGCCAAGAGCGGCGAGAATGTGGAAAAGGCCTTCATGAGGGTTGCCGAGAGGATATACCAGAACATACAGGCGGGCAAGTACGACCTCAACGACCGGAGGTCGGGTGTCAAGGGCCCTGGCGCTGGCAATAAAGGCCAGGTCAAGGTGTCCAATGATCCGAATCAGTCAAGCGCTGGGGGTTGCTGCTGAGCTCCGATTTCTTCATACACCGGCAGAAGGCGTTCTCCCGCCTCGTCGTTCATGAAATATCCCAATTTATCTGGACACCACTACGTCATGTCCTTCAGGCACCAAGTATCCGAATTTGTACAGTAATGCATAATAACACATTGTCTAGCCAAGCCGCTGTCCGGCCAAGAAAAAATTATTAAAAGGAGATGTTTCGTCTAGCACTAGGTACAGAGTACATCCTAGTGTAATTGTTCCCTCCTCCCTCATCCGTTGCAGACATGGTGCCCCGAGATTGATAATGAAATATTCCCCATAGTTCCCATTTTAATAGCTTTTACAAAGGACATGCATCGCTCCCATGCTGTCTGTTACACGGATCTCTGATCTGTTAGCGTCCCCAGTAGTACAACCTTCGGCAAGCATTTGGCCTGCAGATGAAGTTAGTCTCATGTGAAATGAGTAACTTTAGTCACTCATTCTCCATGTGTCGAACCACTTCAGGTAGCTGTAGTCCCTGTTGGGACCCGTCATGCCGAAGCAGATAGGAATGAAAAGAATGTACAGGCCAATGATGACCGAGTATAGAACACCGTAAATGGCGATTTGAAGTGCACTGTTGCGGTTCCTTACCAGCCAGTCCACCAAGAAGCCGAATGAAAGGATGGCAAAGTAAAGAGCAGGGTAATAGTGGTGCACGTAGGTAACACGGGCCATTATGACGAATGGCAAGTAGTGTAGGAACCATCCAATGACGGGGTAGATGGCAGAGTAATGGATCTGATCAATTTCGGTGTTGTTCAGATCCTTGAAACCCCGCTGCCATCGCACCAGATACCATGCGACGACGAGGGCAACCAGGCCAAGCGCAGCAGTTGAGCCCCAGTAGACAAAGGGGTTGCCGAGGAGGAAGTACTTGACGATCTTGTCATCCCAGCTGCACATTCTGAGACCAACATGGAGAATTGGCCACTGCCACCATTGAGAGGCCAGGTCATCTTGCTTGTCGGGGTCAGGAACAAGAGCGTTGTTGGATGTCATCATGGCGACATTGAGGTGGATGAAGTCGTGAATGAAGGGAGACTTGTAGACACCTGGGTCGCTGGGGGGCACTGTTTCTTGTTAGCCATCAAGTTACCAGGAGCAAGGCGGGCGTTAGGAAACTTACACTTCTCGTTCCAGTGGGCCTCCACGTTCCAGTGTGTGTAGGCATCCCGGGGGTTGTTGTCCTTGGTGCAAGTGACCTCGATCTGCTTGAAACCCCACTGGGGCAGGTTGGTGTTGCCGGCTCGCAAGTAGCAACCAAGCACTGTGTGCTTGAGACGGAACGACGTGGTGAGAGTGCGAATTCGGCTACGGTCACGAGAAGCAGCATCGCGAATAACTTCAATCTTCCAGTGATCCTTGTCGTCACCAACAGTCAGGTTACCGTAGGAAGACACCTCGTTGTCCTTCTTCCTCATGGGGGCAGCGATAGAGTGGGAGTGGAGGTTGCGGCCAGTCTGAGCATGGATCAGGCGAATAACAGAGCCATCGCTCAGGTATCGGAGCTCGTCGGACTCGGCGTCATAGTCAGGCTCGTGGCGGTTGGGGTAAAAGAACCAATCATTGTTAGAGTCCTTGTGGTGGTAGCAGGTAACCTGCTGCTGCTGGGAACCTTCGGGGTAAGTCTGGACGTGGGAATGGAGGAGACCACCGCCATAGCCCATGTTCTTGATTGTTGCGCGGGAGCCGTAAGCGATCTCAAGAGGGCTATTCTTGCCAACCTCAGTTCCCTTGAGGTTGGCCTGGAAGAGAGAGCTCATCTGAGCATCGCCAGGGCCGGTCCGGTCGAGAATGGCGAAGTGCAGAGCGAAGGAGAGGAGGTAGATAAGGAATGGGATCAGGATCAGGCCCACAACACGGGCACAGAAATGGACAACGAGCTCGGTCTGTAGATGAGGTTAGTAAAATGAGCATTCCTGAAAAGCAAGGTTGAACACATACGGCAGGAATCTTCTTGTCACCAAACTTTCGCCAGAGGTCCTCAATTGTGTACACACCAACCATAGCGGTGACGAACAAACCAACAAGCTTCACGCTGCACACACAGCCGATGCTGAAGCCGGTCAGGAAAAGCCACAGGAACCATTCAGGCTCGAAGCTGTTGTGTCGCTGATTGTGGAACTTAGCCCAGCAGAAGACAGTGGCCACGGTTCCACAGAGAAGCATCGAGTCGAGGAGAATAAAGCGGCTGATAGTTGTGTACGAGTTTTCGCAGAGTACCATGAGAGTGACAAGCCAAACTGCTGGGCGACGAAGGTGAAGCTCGCGGGCGGTAAAGTAGGCCAAGGGGATACAGACAATGCCGAACAAGGCATTGAAGGCTCGCATGAAGGTGTAGTTGATTTCTTCGGGGTATGTGTCTCCAGACTTGAACTCGAACGATCCATTGTATCCAGCGAGAACTCCCGAGAGTCCGACAAGCATCTTACCAAGGGGAGGGTGGACGTCGAAGTAGTACTCGTGCTTGATGTAGTAGCTGCCGAATTTACCAAAGCTAATGACGGCGGTTAGCATCGGACAGCATAGTGCCCCTTCCAAGGTGCCTCGTTACTCACTGAGCTTCATCCCAGGTGACAATGTTGCTGATACCAATTTTCCACAGTCGAGTGCCAATGGCGGCCAGGGTGAACAGGATGGGGGCAAAGATGATCTCCCACTCCACAAAGGTATCGATGAAGCTCTTCTGCTGCAGATTGGCCGTCAGTACTGGCTGAGCTTCCTCATGCTAGAGAAATGGGATCAAGATATTTGGGGACCATAGTACCTTCGGTTGCGACTTCTTGACATCTTCAGGTTCGACGACGCGGGGTGCGGATGGCGCTTGAGCGGCGACAGGACGCTGTCGAAGGCCTTCGCCAAGATCAGCGCCAGAGGCGACTGCGACCTTGTCGGCAGCCATGATTGTTCTTGTCTTGTGGGATCGAATGGAAGCTCGAGTCGATGATCGAGGGTGGAATTGTTTTGCAAGGTGGCCTAAAGTTCTAAAAAAGGAGGCCCGGAAACGCTCACGGGGAGCTAAGGGGCTTGTAACGACTTCACGAGCTGAAGCGTACTCAAAACAACCCCAACGAGGAAGTGAAACAGAGGGAAAACGGCAGTAGGGCTGCCCGTGGGGAGAAGAGAGGGAAAAGAAAGGAAGAAGTGACAAAGATATAAATGAATAAGTAGGGAGGGGCCGACAACCGTCGTCTGAAAGTAGGGTCTCCCTTCAATCGCTCAGCTCAGCTCAGGAGAAGCCACCTGGTGGAAACGGCAGCCAGCCAGCAAGCCACAGGGCTGCACCGCGTACCGCCGTACCTTGTAATTACTGAATGCGTACTACAGGCGGGTAGGCGGACCTGGTGGGTCGATGTTATCGATAGTGTAGGTCCGGTACAAAGAGGGAAGTACCCTGCCTCATGTGCATGGGGCGAGAGCATCGGCCTCCAGGATCACATGTCTCGCCCGATCACCGGTGTTGAGACAATAGAGTTCCCTCTGGGTCCGGGTGCAGCCCGCCGTCTTATTCAACCATCCTTCCTTATGTCATCTTCCCGCGATCCCCCAGAAATATCCGGCGGTGATCCCCAACCTAATGTCTATCGATCTTTAAGATACCCATCAAGTAACCCTTTGGCAGCCCTGTTCCCCTGATCACACCGTCACTCTCGATCCCCAGCGACTAATACAGTGCTCCATCGCTTCAACGACAAGATCCACCTCATCCTGAGCTTGATTGCTCCTACCTCTTCGCCGGCACACGACTCCCTATCCAACACTCAATGTCATCGCTCGTCTCGGACTTCATCATTAATCCAGTTCTCCGCCAGGCCCGCCGGTTTTCAGAGGCATCCCGCGCCACCCTGAGCGGTAGTCGAGATGAGACCAAGGATAGCGATCAGCTCAACGACAACCCTATGACCGATGATGAAGAACACGACGATGAGCCGGCATTTGCCAGGGTTGCCTCCTCTGAGTCCGCGACCTTGCGCCCCTTGAGCTCATCGACACAAGAAACCAGTGTGGAGGAGACCATACCAGCCCAAACCCCTCCTCGTACAACCCCCCTGGTCCTCGACGGCAGTCCCACTGATCACCTGGGCTTTCCTCTAAGCAATCTAAGCAAACGAAGGAACAGTTTGATCCCAGAGGACGACGGCATGCGCGAGCTGAGAAAAAGGATACATGCTATCCATGCCCGTGAAATTGAGGCTCCGGAGAAGGCGAGGCTCATGCATGATGTATTATTGGAGAACTACAATGCCTCAAGAGACACTTCACATAGCGTGAGGACTCCCGAAGCCCCCCGATCTCCGGCCCAAAGACCAGAACAACTTCCCTCACCTCATGGACCCCTCGAGTCTCTGAAGTTCTGGCAGAACCAACCACATGAAGTTCCAGGGCCTTCGCCGGCCGACTTTGTTCTCACCGAGCTCGACAGAGCACCCAGCTTTGCCCCAGTGCGTCGGATTAAGACTTCCGGGATAGACACGCCCCGTGTCGAGCCCGTTCTTACATCAGTAGCTGAATCGGTTCCTCAACTCGGATGCCAACATTATGAACGGAATGTGAAACTTCAATGCTCCGCATGTGAGAAGTGGTATCCATGTCGCCTATGTCATGACAATGAGGAAGACCACAAGCTGCCTCGGTTTGAGACAAAACATATGTTATGCATGCTCTGTGAGACACCGCAAAAGGTCTCTGATGTATGCATCAACTGTGGTGAACTCGCTGCGAGTTATTATTGTAACGTATGCAAACTCTGGGAAAATCGCCAATCAAAACCGATCTATCACTGTAGCGATTGTGGCATATGCAGGCGTGGCTTCGGACTCGGAAAGGATTATGTCCACTGCAAGGTAAAAAGTTCCGAACACGCATCGTTCTTGCGCATCGTTTCTAACCTCCTCATAGACGTGCTGCGCATGCATCCCAACCTCTATTGAACTGTCACACAAGTGCATAGAGCGCTCTACAGATTGTGATTGTCCAAT